TGAGGAGAGCCTGGGCTTGGGGTGATGACATCAGAGGTGTTCTGTCCGACCCGGACTAACTGAGGTCTGTTTGTGAGAAAGTCTAGTGTCTTTGTGCTGTGCTGAATTGCCATGTTGTTAGTGTGTCAGTTTTGCTCTAAGTCTGTAGTTTTACATTAAATGTCAATAGAAAAGAGAGGAAAGGCATATTCTACTGAATGTGGGTGTGTAATGTTTGTCCAGTTAAGTGAAACAACACGGGTGTCTCCTAAATGATAATTTTAAAGCTATGGGTAAAAATAAAATAACTTTTTCAAAGTTCCTGGAAAATAAGAGGCTTTAAAAGTCACAAAAAGGTGTTTTATTTGTCGAGTCTTGTAAATAACATTATTTGCAAGTTGAGTACTGTTTTGAAGACAACAAAACTGAAACTACTTTAAAACAATCATTAAGTTTAAACAAACTCCATTTTAATTTTATTTCAAGGCCTTTTTTTTGCCTCTTTCTTTTTAGATGATTTTAAGCCAGATAATATATTTCCGCTCCATAGTTTTCAGATCAAACGCCGTAGAACTAAGCTAAAACTGATGGAGCAGAGAAAAAAGATTTGCCTATTTTGTAACGATTGTTTTAAATTTCCGATTTTATTTTGTTACTAAATTATCATATAGAGATAACACAATGTAAGATGAACATGGTCCAACAGCAAATTAATAAAACAGAAGTGGCAACAATATATGTTTTCCGAGGTTAATAATTACAAATACAATGTAGTAATCAACTGCTGATGTGTAACTCTGATGCAGATAGTTAAAAAATACACATCTGTTGTTTTTAATATTCTTTTTTGTTTCTGCATTTTTTATTTTATTTTATTTATTTTTATTTTTTTCCTACTTGCTTTGATTCTGTTTTATCTTCCTGTATTTTAATCATGTAAAGCACTTTGCATTGTCTTTGTACTGAATTGTGCTATAAAAATAAATTTGCCTTTCCTTGCCTATATGTTAGCTGATATTAGGTGGACATATCAAGTGCATACATAAAGATGAATAAACATATTAAGAGCATTTGGAACCACATATGCAAATCCTAAATCACCTCATTTTTACTTTTGATGTCTTATATTCCATTTATTTAGATAATACAATTGTTTATGCATAGCTTATTCCATTCATTTTCTTCTAAGTCTACTTTTCCAAATCTAGCTACCTGCAGCAAATAGCCGGTCCCATATGCTGCTTAATACAAACTGGAACCTTCTGGAAAGTCCCTCCAACCAGAGTGTTGTTGCAAGCTGTGCTTTTATGGTGCATTTAATGATATTTTGTGTAAATAAAAAAACTCAAAATTGACAGAAGACCTGTTTTAAAATATCTGCATAGGCTTTTTTTTTTTTTTTATCCTAAACCAAAACACTGACTGTTTTTAAATTGTTTTATTGTTGTATAATCTCCATCCATCCATCCATCCATCCACCCACCCACCCATCCATACCTTCTTATACCTTTGTGATTTAAAAATGTTATTAGTTTCTCTCAATATAGTAATATGTCCGAACCAAGATAAAAAAAATGCTTATTTGAACTGTGCACCTGTGTGCTTTTACACACCTTTTATTCTTGCCGAAAAGGCTTGCTTATGTTGTATTTTTAAGGTTATCTACAGGGAAGTCTCACTACAAACACCTCAACAGCATCCATTTAACAGAATGCACTCTGAGGGTAAAATAAGGGTGACCTCTGTAAGTTAAATGTGTTTTCTTAATGAGATTTTTCATATGCCACTAACCTTAAATTTAAGTAGAACAGAGAAAAAAAAACCCTGAAGGCCAACAATGGTAACAGAATCAGTTCTCTTTAAAGTCAGAACCAGTTTTGCCCTGCTACTGGTAGCATGATCCACATGTTAATAATATCAGGTTCTGTCAAGATTGTGGCACTGATGACTGGATTATTAGTTAATCCCTTCCACCTGCTTAGCTTCACCCAGTTTTCACCTGCTCTAATCTGTTCAGCCTGTTCCTGCTCTTATTTATGCTGCCTGTTTCCAGCCATCAGTTTCAGATTATTTGAGCCATGTGTGACAGTATTCTAGTGTACCTGTGTGTTTCTGATTACATGACCTTGACAAGCCTCTGGATTTCTGAGTTTTGTTTGCCTGTGTTCTGCTGTGTTTGCCTGATCGGTCTTAGGATTGTTTCCTGGATTCTGCCTGCTTACGACCTTGGATCTGTCTCGTGGATTCTCCCTCTTTATCTCTTTGGCTCTCTGATCTTCTGGCCTGGACACATGCTCTTGCATCAAGTCTGACTTTCTCCCTCCGGATACTTCTGCTTTTCTGCATCTGCTAGCTTCCGCTCGTCAGTCTGCTATGCTTCACTCCTGGGACTCTAGGGGGGGCTGCTGCATGCTCTAGAGAAATAATCCTTCTGGCTTCCAGTCCTTTGTCTGGGCTCAGACTGAACTGTTAACCAGGTTAGTGACACACATGCTCGTTATCGTTTCCTGCCTGAGTTTCGTAATCATTAACCTGAGTTTCCACCTCTGCAGAGCTTCTAGCGACCCTGCCACAGCTGATGAGCCACTGTACGCAAAGCAGTAAATAAATGCTTGCTGTGAAAACACTGATCTGTCGCTTGAAGTCTGGGTCAAACATTATGAGCTTCTGGTTCTCTGCTCCCAGGGGAAGAACTGCCTTGGTACACAGAGGTAATGATTTATTTTTTTTCTTTAGCTTTATTAAAAATTATTTAGGTCATGAATCTAACAGACACGGAAATGGAGGAGAGAAAGGAAGAGAGGATAAAAATGAAGGGAATAGAGAAAGAGAGAGACAGAGAGAAAAGGAGATAAAAGGAGAGAGAGAAAGTGAGAGCGCAAGAAAAATAATTTAAAGTTCAATGCAACATTTTTGCCCCATGTTTACTGAACTAACCAGGAGATAATTACAGTGATGATTGGTTCACAGAAAACTCCTGATTAATGTCAATTTAAATACATTTATATTTATCTTATATGTACAAACAAGACTTTCTTTTCTAAGTATAATACATCATATCCAAAACCTAGC